GTGAGGTGAAATGGGGTTTAATGGCGTGCTTGAGAATATTTCGCTCAGAGAGAGAGAGAGAGAGAGGTGAGGTGAAATGGGGTTTAAAGTCGTGCTTGAGAATATTTCGCTCAGACAGACAGAGAGAGAGAGGTGAGGTGAAATGGGGTTTAATGTCGTGCTTGAGAATATTTCGCTCAGAGAGAGAGAGAGAGTCACGTGTCATGTGATAGTCTTATAATTAGTTGTCTCGTGTGAGCCATATATATATATATGTTGCATGTTTAGTAATCTCCTGAGTATTATTTGTTATACACTTGTACAGATTACATTCATCTTGTTGGGTGGTAATATTATTTCTTTTATAGTTAATAATCGTATAAGAATATAATTGATGCTGATATGATAATGGAGTTAATGGTGATGTTGAAATGTAATTGATATAGTATGATAATGTAATTTATGTACGGGTGGTGATATCCTTTCTGGTTTTGTAGCGATAGTGTCTACGTGTACCTTAGAGTAGAGAAGAGCTGCAAACGTAGATAATGTGGTTTATCGTAGTGCGGTCTTAGTATTTATGGTAGTATTAAGATATTATTTATGGCAGGTGTAATATTATCAATCATTGCGCATTCGTGGTGTCGTGTTTGTGTTTATTAGTGTTATTAAATTATAATTGGTACTTGCATATTTTGAATGAAATCTTCCAGGCACATGTGAGATGTGTACATATGTATTATAAGGCGAGAGTTTGGGGAATTCGCTCGCTTGGGAAGAGATTCCACAATACCAACCCACACACAACACAAGACCTGACTAAATAAACCAGGAGTTTATTACACAGCCACATAATAGCCACATTATCAGTCAATAATAGAATGGTTTACAATTAATTATTACAGCATGTTCACAATGCAACCAGCTATCGAGATACATAAACTTCACATGTAAATTCGTTACACCTCCTACATTAATCACGATACTCCACACATCACCCCAGCGGGCGTTCATACATTCTATAACAGCCACAAAACAGCGTGGTGTTAATCAGTATTAAATCAACAATCCTAAACAGTAATACAGAAATATATGAAAAATATAGTAAAGGATGCCATGTTCCACATAAACCTGAATGCAGTGTCCAGGGTCGTAACATATAGTTAAGGTACGATAGATTAAACTAAAGACACAATAGCATAGAGAATTTAACACGGTTAGAAGAAATTGAAGTTTTTTACCTGGGTGAATTTGCTAGACAGCCACCGAATGTTTTATGACTGTCGTCCGTATTATATACCTATTCCATTATTTGATAAAACTTACGATAACGTTGTTATCGTGAATCTGAGAATATATCCATTAGTTTGACCGTAGTATCTATGATAAATGTGTTCAATGGATGATCAGTTGCGAGTATGCGACGAAGGTATATGTGGCACGCGCGTGGTTTGACCAACGTGGAATACAAACAGCCTTTAAGACAGATAAATGTATTGCACCTTGGCTCTGTTAGGTTAGAGATACTGGTCCCGGAATATGTCCGATTCTCGTTATCAGTGTGACCCTTGGCAGTTCTAAGATAGTGGAACGTAGTCAATAGTCTGTGATATTTCCAGTTTTCAACAACATACAACGCCATAAAATATTTGTTAAACTTTGCCAGTATTCCCCATGTTAATATATTTACCAGTGTCTTATACGGATTTGTGTCTACAATCGTATTCGTTAACGATTGATACGATCTTCAGTGCACGTGTTATATGTGACTGTACATACATGTCAATGTTTGGAAAGATACGGCGGTTTGTGCAGACACAGGTGTCTTTGTCTGCTACGGTAATGATAAAATAACTAATACCTGTGTTGCTGTGGGGCCTGTATGTGTGGGTCAGTGTTTTATATGATGTGATAGTGTGTAGCGGAGTTTATATTTACACGTGGGAGTACTGGTGATATGCGTGTTTATTTTGTCTGATATGATGATGCGCGGCGCAGTTAAGGAGTACTAATAGATCGAAGCGACAAACCCTTTCCAAATCCATAAGAAATCTCTGCTAAAAGCAGAGTCGATTGTATAATTGTGACGAAATAGTGTGATGTGTGTGTAAGTTTTTTGTCTCGTTCCACTGGTAGGGAACTTGGTTACAGTGAGAGTGGAGTCTTTGTGATTTTTGCGACGGAAACTTTGCGATATGTCACAGAGTCTTATTGATTTTAGCATCAACAAGTGAAGGGTAAGGTACGATAAAAGGCATGTATGCCAAAAAAATCAATATTACAAGAGAGTTGAATTCACATTCACTTACATTAGGTTCCGTAACAAATACATATATGTTGTTCAGTAAGCTACGGATAATCATGCAAAACCATTAATTGTCACGAAATTAATACTCGAACTTGGCGTCCAAGACAGTTCCCAAAGTGTTGATGGGGTTTATATCGGGGCTCCTTGATTATAATTTTGTTTATATGTTTTTTCATAATCAGCAATGTATATTATATGTCATGAATAAGTGATAATTGTGTTTTAATTATGTTTGATATTTTGGTTGCATGTGACCTTTAAGAAGGACTAGCTATAGAGTGACGTGTGTCAGTGTCCGATGCGACGTAACTGTATGGGGTGATGCGTTTGTGTTAGTACCGGGTACGAAGTTTTGGTGTGTGACGGAGATCATGGGATACTCGCGAGATAAGTGACAGTGTCCGACTTTAGAGACTGAGTGTATGTTGGAGTTTAGAGAGTAATGTTAGTAGTGTTTGCTCACTATCAGGGATGCTTCTAAGCGGAATACTTGTAACATGTGGTTTTGTGTCAATGCGATGTGGTGGTATGTGATGGAGTTTGGGGAATACATGTGAGACGTGTGTCTACCAGTGTCCGATACCATGTGATTGTGCCTGGAATACCATATGTTTGTGTCTTAGTGTTTCGTACATTGTGGTGGCGTGTGCGTGTGTGCGTGTGTGCGTGCGTGTTTGCGCGCTTGCGTGCTTGCGTGTGAGTCAGAATTGAAGAAGTACTTGAGTTGGGTGTGTGTTTGTGTCTGGTACGATGTTCAGTCCAGTTCAGTTCATTTATTCACCAAAACCACTCACAGTACGACCCGTGAGGGTCCGGGCTAGAATTGCTCTTCAGTAACCCCTGTTAGTTGTAAGAGGCGACTAACGGGATTGGGTGGTCAGGCTCGCTGGCTTGGTTGACACATGCCATCGGTTCTCAGTTCCACACATATCCGCAATGTGTTAAAGAAATTAGGTGACAGTTATATACATCAAGTCAATCAAATGATCAATCAGGCAAATCTCAGAATTGCCTGATGTCCCTGATATTCCGTACTTTAGTTGACACATCTCATCGAATGCCAATTGCAAAGATCGATGTTCATGCTGTTGATCACTGGATTGTCTGGTCCAGACTCGATTATGTACAGAACTCCGCCATATAGCTGGAATATTTCTGAGTGCGGCGTAAAACTAAACTCACTCACTCACTCACAGTACATTCATACATGAATAATGATATAACAATACAATTGTGATTCGGTGATTAGTACGTGTCAGATATGCATTTGAGTCAATGTCTGATACGATGTGAGGGTTTATGTGGCAAGCGCTTTTTCGTAACTAGCGTTGGATAACGTTTCGTTGTCATGGGATAAATAAAGGTGATGACGATGTAGAATTCGTGCCTGATTCCATAAACCACTACAGTCATACTCCTTGGCCATCATTATGTGCCTTCCCCCACATGGGTACAATGTGTGAAGCCCATTTCTGGTGTCCCCCGCCGTGATGTTGCTGGAATATTGCTAAATGCGGCGTAAAACCAAACTCAGTCAGTCAGTCAGTCATTATTTGCCTTCGATCACACATACACCAACTCTTATAAAACAAACATACACATTCATGAACGTGTACCGTTACGTTTGATTTACACTCGCGCATGCGTAGTCATGCAGATGTTCATGGAAAGTAGTTTAACGAAAGGATTCCTAAAACTCCACTAAACACACGGTCATCATTTGATGGCACACATCTTTCAAACTTCTAACGATGTAATTCATATCTTTAATATATAAATACTGATTACATTTGTTTCATATTTCGCACTATAGTCTGAGCGATAATGGGCCGTGTTATGTTACATGTGTCTAAAAACTGTCTAGTGGACATACAAAACTCATTTTTACATAAAGACACAACAGATGTCTGACTCATCACATACTTCTGATCACCAATTCATTGTAGACACATACATCATTTTCCATTCAATTAGTTATAACGTTTTGCGATACTTAACATAAGAAAACGGTAGACACATTAACCATCTTTCATTTATTTATTTGTAGCATTTGTCGATGCGTAACTTAAGATAAAGGTTAAACCTTTTCGCATACAAGAATACTTCTTTGCGATAGTTAAGTAAATGTTCAGGCATAATTTATAAGCGAGCTTCTTGAACATCGCTTTGAACCTTATTTCAGTTATATCATTACGTGTCAGCATGATGAGGCAGGTAAGTGAGTGAGTGAGTTTAGTTTTACGCCGCACTCAGCAATATTCCAGCTATATGGCGGCGGTCTAGAAATAATCGAATCTGGACCAGACGTTCCAGTGATCAACAGCATGAGCATCGATCGAAGCAATTGGGATACGATGACTTGTGTCAACCAAGTCAGCGAGCCTGACCACCCGATCCCGTTAGTCACCTCTTACGACAAGCAGGGGTTACTGAAGACCAATTCTAACCCGGGTCTTCACGGGCAAGAGAGGCAAGCCTGAAATGATGCAGGTCATAGATTTGGTTGATACCCAAGAGCAATAAAGGCTCGTGTAATAAAGGCAGCTTATTAATTTTGTATACTTCACGCGGACCTGACATTACAATTACACACTTTCTTATCTTTTGACCAAAAGACCATCTCAACCAACCGGTTACCAGTTTGCTGTTTTGTACACAGAGGAACATTTTCAACAAAACAATCGCCAAAATACCAAACAAAACATGTAGAAACTTGCATTCTTTACCTTTTATTTTACAACTCAAATACATTCATCTATATAACAACATGGTCATATCACTGCTCATCAATATTTTTAAATCAAGTTCATACTAGCACAGAAATGAATGTGTTTTTCAACTCTTGCTAATGATAACAGCGTAATAAAGATTACAAGAATTAAAAACTTCAACAAGGAACTCTCGATGTTCGGCCAGTTGATTCTGTTGTAAGTTCTTGTGATCTCCTTGCTGTTAGTATTACAACAATGTTTTTTTCTTCTCATACCCTTAGCAACCGCTGAGCAACATACATTTAAGAAGCCATATTTTTACTTTCTTCAGACATTTTATGGTTTCAGTGTCCTTCTGCTGCTCGACATTAAGCGCTAATTGCTTTTTTCTGCCGGAGATACATAGTCACTCTGGAACAATAATTCAGGAAAGCACAATGTATGAAACAAACATGGTTCATTATGCTTAATGTCTGTCTGGAAGTATGGAGGTTTACAATACTTAATTTCGCCCACGTTATAAATGCAAAACTGTTTAAAGCAAAAGCTGCACCAAGAATACAACTTCAGACAAACATTTGTCTGATGGTCATCACATTTTATAACATGTGCTTATCGAAGCATGTTTTAAAATGGCACATCCTAGGAAGATAAAAAACACAACCGAAAGCAACAAGACTTTAACAATGGCGACACACATCGCATAAATCTCCTTAGTATATTTGTGAACCTCTGATAGAGACTAGTTAATAGCATTTTAATGAGAGGTCTCGGGTGATTTTGTCTTTCAGTTTCTGATATACCTCTTTGGTTATTTTCATTTAATGACTTTAAATGGAAATGAAATATCTTTATTACAATATACATACAAAAGTCTAAACGTCGGTACAATAATTCTCTTATAATATTACGAAACGATTGTGTTAAGAATTTTAGTAGTTTTACAGATTTTTAAAGTTAGGACTTTTCTATTCCATTTTATCTGACTTCAGAGTCGTCGTCATTCGTCAAATACGTTCCCCCATAAATATACATCCAAGAAACAACATGTACATATTATGCATATATATTATATAGGTGATGCAACTGTACAAGTTGAAATCGCGGGACTATATACAGAATTATTTTCGCCAAGGGGATACATTGTCATATTATCGAGGAAGACGTCCTCCTCTTTAATCCCGACATCTGAGGACATAATTTGTATAATATTTACACTATACATACAGAGTAAGCCCCCAAGTACTTCTTTCATAATAAATTTTGCGGTGCATGAACTGTTGGCATAAATAATCTTGTAAGGGACATTAGGTTTATCAGCGAGAAGTATTTACGGTGTAATTGGGGATATATTTAGCTAGTGATTATCATTCCTGGCTGGCAAAATGATATCTGTTCCTAATGGCCTGTGGGAAATGTACGTTCAGAGGCTTTTCAGTCTTATCTCAAACCACTGACGATGAAGTGTAGCTGTAAGAGGAAACTCTACACACTTTCAATAGATGTTTTGTGTCCACCTCGGACGCTGGAGGCATAAATCAGATAAATCGTATTCACGTTCCGCACGCATGTCTGCTGCTTTTACACTGCAATAAAGTTTCACAACAGAGTGGTTTTCTGTTCTGGGGATTCATTACAAATAAATGTTAAAGCGTCCCCTGTCTCAAGATCAGTTCCAGAGCAGCACGACTCTTCAACAACGATTACGTCTTCTTTCGAGACAGCATGCTTTTGGATACGTCTCTGAGCATACAAATACAATAAGGGAGTGATCAACATGTAGACGTAAGAGCAACCGTACGCCAACACATCTCTGTGCTGAAAGGCAATTCTGCCATCTGCAAAGTCTTCGCAGAAATTTATGATGTGCGTAGGAAGCCAACCAAGCAGCATGACAGATGAAATCCCAGCCAGCACCTTGGCAACATTTTGACGCTGAATGACGTTTTGTCCACGTAACGCCTGCTTTCGAAGGTCTTTCAACACACGGATACAACAGGCAAACTGAACCATGAGCGGCACACAGAAGAGGGCGAGGAACATGACAGTAGTATCCACCTGGCGGTAGATAAGGGGTCCAAGCTTTCGGGAACAGAAACGCCGCTCGTCTACGATGTGCCACAGGGTAATCACGTTGTAGAGAAATACACGAGGAACCATGACAACACATGCCAACATCCACAATGAAGCTGTTATCACCTTAGTAATGCGATGGTTCCTGAAAATAAGATGAAATGTTCTTGTAGATATAACAGAAATTGCACAGGTGACGATGCCGGTTGTTCGTAATAATGTGATATTTACTCGTGTACGAAAACGTCTATAACACTACTTTTTTGCCCTTTCCGAACTATCACATATCTTTTGTAATATCTACACATGGCACTGACCTCGTATTTGGATACATCTATTGAATGCCTCAATTGCCTGCTATAGTTAGTTTAAGTATATAGTTCTTCGTGCTGGTCGTAAATGATTGGTTCTTTTGTTGCAAAGAAGCAGTGGAAGCAGGCATGCTAGTCTTATCGTTGAACGATTATAAAACATGTATGCCATGAAATAAGCAATTTCTGTTTCTGTATTTCTGTATGTCACCTATAAACGAAAACGGATATGTTTCTTGATACAGTGTGCAGAATTGCTTGTGTATGTGGTAACATGTAGCTGGTAATAAGTTTTACATATATACGTGCGCCAGTGCGTATGAATATATACATTGCAAAGGCAAATAATGTGATTTAATATCTACTCTACTGTGAGTTTTGTTTTAAAAACATATAATGTAAAGGTTCTTTTAATTATATTTTGGAGATTGAAAGATTAGATTGCCTTGACGAGATGAAGATGAACTTGTAGCGTAAACATTTAAGGTTCAGAAAGTTCACACTAATTGGAGTCCAAAGGGAATCTGTTCAAATGGGAGCATCAGCAATGTCAGCAGGTGCATTTAAAATAGATATGCTGAATCAAGTTAGGTGTCCTTGATTCCGCTTGTTTATTCCAAATATGTGGTCTATTCAAATGAATCCATCGCAATTCCGAGTTTGCTGTGATGATGTAAATTGTGCGACATTTAAAAATAATCATATTTAGAAAACGTGAGCATGTTTCATTCCACTCTTAATCAAAGTTAAAGAGAAAAGCACAATAGCAACCGTAAAATTAAACTTGAAAAGGATGAAAATGATATAGTAGCATCATAATTACAACTATCATTGGAATAAAAAGTGATCCTACAACCATCCAAAGGTATGCAACTAGTTGCTAGGACGTATGATACGAACGTTAGCATTTGTTTTGTAGCGTGATAACTAGTCATATAGCCACGCAATAAATGTCGTATATTCATCTTTTACATTGTGTTTTTTTTGTATACAGATGTGTTTTACATGGAACTTTAAATAAATATGCGAATATCGGGAATGAAATGTCAAGACATGTGCCAAATAAATTATATCATGTAAAATATCCCATGAGATTTTTCTGTTTACTACATAAAATGTGAATTGTCTTTTTTATAGAAATTCTGTAATGGTTGGAACATGTTGCTGTGAAAAGATAATGGGGCAATGATGTTTTTAGTTGCAGCAACGTGGTAGGAGAAACATTTACATGAAATATCCCCTTGCTCCGCGTTCACAAACAAGTTAGCTATTACCCTGTATGTGACAGCGCATACCTTTTAAGTGTTTTATCACCCTGAACAGGGCTGGATTCCAAGGTGTGATGCAGACAAGCCGCTGTGACAGATAAAATGGCGGCTGCGACGCACACTGTCATGCCATAGTTGACAGATTTACCTGCAAGACAGAAACCATTCAAGAGTAATGATATTATTTTCACAAAAGGATATTTTTCTTCCAATATGCATATGTGAAGGGTAATAGAAGTATACATGCCTCCTAAAACATCGGGCAGAATTATCAACTTTCTATGATGGGAGTGGTGTACGTTCGTTTTGGCAAGCCATGTTCCTATATAACGTTTTCTGCCTCCATTACAGAAAGCCACACAAATTCAAATATGACTTTCGAAATATATTTTTCTCGATTGGTTAGTCATATATCAAGTATAAATAGACACTAAAGAAGTTTTTGTTTCCGAAAGCAATTTGAAAAACGTGAAATAAGTCCCAGATTTATGTCTATGTTTTCAGTCATATCTCTGCGCAGTTTAAAAACTCGTTCGGAATATGTTAAATGAGAGCGCAGTTTCAACATTGGTTTAGGATTTCTAAAATTTGCATATTGCATGAAAGAACAGACATACTTTTAAAAGTTTATGTTAAAACTGTGATTAAAATATATATTATGATGTTAGTTAACCATCTCATTGTGTTTTAACAAGAAATCAATATTTGAACAATAATTTACGTCCCTTAAAATGTGCAGAATATCAGTTTCCGCTTCGTGTTTATTGATGTTTCTTCGGGTATAGGCTGTTTGAAACTTAATCTTCATAACTCAAAACTACATCCACCAAACAACAAATGTATCTAAAAGATTCAGAAAACTTTAGTATATTTATCATTCAATGGAATCTCGCGGTGATACAAATAAAAGCAACAAAAATGTTTCCATATGAATAAGAAAGCGTCGATCGTTGGATTCCAACCTTACCATGAGCAAGTGTTTCTGAATCACAATGATAAAAACATAAGCATCTTAAACACAGCTCAAGCACAACTGCACCATCTGTTTGCATCATACTCGTCTGTATTATTTGTCTTGAATAGAACTCTCTAATACTTTTTTCATACGCACAGTCCGAATACTAAAAGAAATATGAGTAATAACGAATGTTAAAGTACTTATAGGTATTTTCACTTCATTTTATAAATGGTATATACATGCATTTGATAAGACTGCTAAGACACTTACATGCAAAGCCTCCGAATACCCAATCCGTTATTCCATATGCAATAGCAATGATTGGGACAAAAACAGATAAAAATACGATGTTTCCTATGAAGTGGCTAGCAAAATATGTGTCACTTGCACTTGCAATTTTCCTTCTTCTATAGATAAAAGTCAAAGCAGCGGAATTTGTAATGACTCCTCCAATGACTATAAGAAGATAGAGTACAGGAACAATGATAGTTTCAGGTAAATGATCAACAGGAGGCATCTCTCCATCGTCGTACAAAACATAACCATCCACATCTGTCAAATTTTCAATAGAAACATTGGGAAGAAGAAAGATTCCGCTATAGTCAAAGAAGGTCTCCATGCTTCCAGAGTATCCCTTTGTCAACAAGTGCACACTATTTCAGCATTGTGAAAGTTCAACCAAACATCCAGGTAAAAGTCCACACCATCTTCAAGTCTCTTTTACCACTGTGAACATGGTGTCAGTCCACATCACCTTACCCTTGGATACTTATGATGTAAGGAAAATTCAGGAATATCTTCCCGGCTTTTTTGACTGTCCTCTTAGCAGCGATTGGTCCGCCTCATGAATGAGAAGGATTATATACCCCTCATTAACTTGAATACCTACAACATCCAATGAATTCAGGTCCCAGTGTTTATTTACAACCGAAAGGAATGTGCTTCCGGCATGAGATCCAGTAAACACACACACACACAGACAGATGTGACTCCCCCTTGCCTTCTGCCGGAGATTCACCTCTGAACCGTGGTGCCAATGAGTTAAGGTCACTGCCCGATTCGGGTGACCCGAAATTCCTCAGCGTGCCATGTAAACCTGTTCTGGCCTGGGCTATGTAACTATTTCTCCTATAACTGCTTTCTCTGACAAACGTTCTGTATTGTGCAATTAAAGCTGTACTTAATGAGACGAATTTTTAACATTGATATGCAATGTCGTCAGGAGATGCCTTTATGGGGACATGTGAACGAGATAAGATATTTTCGTCTTAGCTGGCGAAACATAAATGCGTGTTGTGGATGGCAAACGGTTTTCAACCTTGTTTCTAGTTTCTAGTAGGAAGTATCTGGTGATAAAAAGTCCCTGATAGTGTTTTACTTCTCAACCTTCCAATGACCCAACAAGACATTAATCATCCAGTTTTCTCTTTCACATAGGAACATGAAAAACACCGGCAATGAAGCTATAATACAATTAAACACTTATTGAATATTTTACTAAACAAACGTTGGTATCCATATGACTTTTCGTAAGCATCTACACAGTAGAAAGACATTAAAGAGAAAAATGAAAAAGATAATTATTTACTGCAAAAGGAGTTGCAATGTTGTCATGGAAAATAGACAATAACGAATTCAAAGGCACAAATGATAAATTTAAATAGTATGTAAACCTTTAGTCTTAGATGTACAGAAAGTGTATGAATTATACATTATGTATAATTACAAAACTTGTGTCGATATATATCTGTTCCCAATTGTGCTTGACCGGGCAAACGTTTTGGTCAGTTTACAATAATAACATGAATAGTACTAAAGTTTTGTGCCTGACATGAGACAGGCCACAGTCATTTATCCTACCCCATCGGTCATTTTTAAAGCAGTGATCCGCAAAAGCACGTTACCAGTCTCGCGCGATTATCAACAACACAGATTATATTATAGAGTGCGATGCACGCTTGAAAACGCAACTCGGAATGTTAAGTGTCTATTCAAGTAGGAATGTAACACGCATTAAATGCTAAAGTGAAGTATGTTCTCAATATAACTAAGTAGATGTGACACCCTCGCAGGCTCCTATGACACTTTAGGAGAGCAATAACGATAGTCTTAGCTGTGCTTCGTAGGAGAGGCCGGCGACGAGGGTTTACACCTTATCGAAAAGGCTAAACATACGTCTAAGGAATGCGTGAAACTACAAGAATGTTTAACAACAAACTTCTTGACAGTACCCTATCGTATCCGATAAATAGTGTAAATATCGTTTATATGATAATTGTTTTTGTTGTGATGATACTGTAGAATGTTAATTTTTATATATTTATCTTTCATGATTCCAGATAAAAACAACAACAACAACAACAACAAACCTCACAAGGGTATGTTAAACGTTGCAGCTTCAGAAACAGACTTTTTATTCTGATGGAGACTACACTTGACATGGGTGCCAAATCTTCAAATGTGCGGGACTGAGCGGGAAGAGTTTCCTTCCCTCTCTCAAGACATTCTATGATGACAACAACAACTATTCCCTCTGTATTTCTTCATATCACTACATTAGGCATGACATATGGTGAGTCCAGATACCTTTGTGTAAGTAATGTGGACGTCTGGTGCTTACTATGTTTTCTGAACATGTAATTATGATAAAGACATTTGATCATTGACACACTGTACGTATATGATGTACAATCTGCATAATGAAGAAATGACAAGCACGTTATATATTTGATATGTAAAGACGTTTACATGTTATAGGAATCAGTTATTAAACTAACTTAATAAAGTAGGATAAATAGGAGAAAATAGACTTTCTTCATTTTCAGAAACTGAATCGCAATCTAAATTTTATAAACTTACATGGACTTTCTTGGATATATTTGTTTCAGGGTCTGATGACAGACTACTCATCTGCAAATAAAAGAATTTGAAGGATGATGTTTTATATGTACTCTGCACATCAGTATGATATAAATTAATGTTTCACGCTTGATATATTATCAGCTTATGTAAGTATAATATAGACGTTTATTGCCTGAGACGCTATCGGCATTTTTACGAATGACAGAGATGTTTGATGTCAAATGTTATATATAATACGTTATCTGCATATGAAAGTATGATACGCACATTTGATGCTTGATGTGTGTAAGTTTGCTTTCAATTAAATTATGAACATGGTTTGTGAATCAATTAAATTTAGACATGTCCTACACAAAAGGGGATTGATTGAGGTGGAAAAAGGTTACCGTAACACATTGATTGATTCCACAGTCCACAGTTCAGAAGAATGGGTTTTTAAGAGCATGGAATTAGACACAGAACGCAGGCAACATTACATAAACGAAAACCCATATTTCAACCTTGTTGGACTGATAAATGCTGAGAATAAGCATATATAAATGTACGCTTTTTACATTTCTTCATATGTAAGACAAGAAAGCATAATTATGTAAGTAATACTTGGCTGTGTGAGTGAGTGACCTGTCGTCATGTTTGCCATGTACTTGAAAAACGCTCGAAGAGATGCATGTCTTACATGTTTGTACCTTTGGTGCAAACCACAAGCGCAAGTGGGGAGAAACATATAAAACATTACCGAGATTCTAGGATAGGATCACAGGTTACAGGCTCGCCTGAGGGATTCAACGGGGGCACATGTGCACAAACTAGGCTGTGTTCTTTTGAATGATGATATTAATAATAAGTCCGAAAACAGATCCGAAATGAGGGGACATGGTGCCTTATGTGTTTTTTAACGTATCATGTGGTTACATGTGTGGAATGGTGTTATACAACAATATTTAACAATGCTTTCGGTGTTGCATGCCAAAACAACTGAACGGCTTTGATTAAATCTATTTTAATTTTTCACAGCATCATATATGCCAACCGCATGAGGGAAACAGATTTCATCTGGCGCAAAGAGCGAAACTGGGATATAATATATGGATCACTGTATTTCTTGATACAACGTGTGTTTAATATGAATCAGTTTTATTGTTAAAAAGAAAGACTAATGTATAGAAAGTCAGTGCCAAAACATACATCTTATGCCAACTGCATGAAGGAAACAATAATAAGAAAACCTTGAAGAATCCGGACTGCGAACAAGAGTTTATGAAAACCTCTTGATATTGTGTGTGCGTTGGCGTAGCTTATAGCCCAGTGGTTAAAGCGTTCGTTCATCAATTCCCAAGACCTTGGATTCCATTCCCATGAGGGCGACATACATCGTCCAGTTTTGGTATCGTCATAAACATTTTAGGAAAAATCTAGCAAATAAGATATTACAACTGTTTGGTGTATGTAAAACACGTATGTCATGAAATATTTAACATGAGCGTTAACGCGTGGGGATTCTTTGTCCATTACATAGCTACATAAGAAAAACATTGATAAGAGCACTTTTAAATCCGTTTGCAAGTTCTGTTTCAGATTTAGAGTTCTCCCGACATTTAAAGTATCTCTTGTTAGGCAAAAATAAAGAGTGTACAAATGTTCTTACATGTCTGGCAAATAATATGTTGTCTCGTCGATAAAATTCTTATCGGCATTTGATGCTTATCGTGTCTATAACTTGATACCCAAATGATACCCATTTTTGCAAGGTAGACAAATGTCTTTATTGCGCATGTTCTGACATTTTATCAAAGTTTCAAAGTTTCTTTGACAAACAGTACTGGGCAGCATATGTTCAAATGACTTGAGTGCACTCTGTGCCATACATCTAGTTAATCATTCACAATCAACAAAGACTTCACATGTTAACAAGTTTCTGATTTCACGCAAAACCGTACCGCTTTCAGGAACAAAATATTTTCCAAAAAAACCCTACCCCCTGCCATACAACCCTTCTATAAATACCGAATTGGGGATACCTTACTTTACCCTCCACAACAAAATGTATGTTAAAATCGTGAAATGAAAAAAAGTTAATTGTCAATACATTTCAGGACACTGTATTTTAGACTAACTTTTTGAAAAAGCCGTTGAAGGTGGATTTTGAAAGGACCACGGAAGTTCCCCGTGTAATAAAACCCGTATCATAAATTACCCGACAAATGTGCATTTAGATGTACAGGGACAAAATGATTAACATATCGTGATCAGCCCAAACCATCCTGTCTGGGAAATATTGCATAATCTGACGTCATTTGAAAATGACAATGTTTTTGGTCTATCGGGATGGGTACTTTGGTCATGGAGTGCATTATACATGCCATCCCTTTTCTGTCTGGCACATCTGCCTTGCATATGCTAATGTGACTTTAATGGGATCCTATTTAAGTTTATGAGGAAAGTGCGTGTCGTTTAAGAAAATGATAACTTTCTGGCGTTGAATGACTTGAGATGTATCAAGTTATTTCCGACACCTTTATGGTGAACCACAGAACAACATACATATGAAGATAATTACTCAGTGACATCCTGCTCAAGGTGAGTGAGTGAATGAGTATGGGTTTACATCACTTTTGGCAATATTCCAGCCATACCTAGGCAGGGACACCCAAACTTTCTAACCCGCCGCCCCCTTAAAACGTTTGACGGAAAGTATTTAAACCGTCTAACTATTGAGCTCCCAACTCATCTGAGAGTGTGGGATTATATCTATTTCCCACAGGATATCATTTTCTGACATTTTAAGAAAGTATTTATGTTAATGAAGATATCGGTGAGATTTGTCTTGCGATAAATGGATTCAGTGATATTAAGCTACTTTCTTCACGAAGTTCAATTTTATTTAGGTTTCGAAGTGTCGGTCACTGCGGCAACCGGTGATCGGCAGACGTCATGTACATGGAATATAATGCC